GTCCTCCCATCGCAGGCCAACGCCACGAGACCTTACCGGTTTCCTCGAGTCAAGATCGCGTGTAACCGATCGATTCCTGGCAAGGAGGAAAAACCATTCGATGAAGCGAACTCGATATCGCCTATGATTTTTGTCGCCCTGTTTGCAATCTGGGACAGTGGCAAGTCGAGTAGTAGCCAATGACGGGCGAGTTCGACATCCTCGAACCTGCTGATGGCGTCGGCGATGTTGGCCTTGGTCGGCACTCGCTCTAATCGATGTGCAAGGCCACGTCGGTTGTGCCAAGTCCAGTGTGCCGCAATGAGACAATTTAGAGGCTGGTGCGTACCAACGCCTCTGATCAGGGCGTGTCGGGACGCCTCGTTGTCGCAGCACTGAATGTAGAAATTGCCCAACCAGGGCGCAAAGATTAACGGGGCGAGGATTGCCGCCCACGCCTCAAGCAATTAAATGAAGGCTTGGTCGGAGGAAAACTGTCGTAGGAGAACGGAGGGAAGTCGTCTTTGAAAGTAGGCCGCGTCGTGTACATCGCCTTGGCGGAAACACACCGCGGCACATCCGTTCTCTATGTCCTTCGTCTTGTCGGAGCTCCAGTTGGGCAGGTTGCCATCGCCTGGGCCGGTATACCTTGCCTCCCAACTTGAAGTAGGCGTCGGTGTAAATGACGCTGTATTTAAATGACACCGGGTTCCTCGGAATCGTCATAGGTTGGCAATGGGAGATAATGTCCTTGAGTGCCAACAAGGATGATCTAGTGGGTTTGTCGATGTTGTACGTGTTGGAATTGGCGCGTGCGTAGATTGTTTTCAGGGGCGCGTCCCACTTTGCCAAACAATCTACCCGTCAAGAAATTGCACTTGCCCGCCATCTTCCTTGCGTCTTCGGATGAGAGCGGTTCGTAGTAAGGTACTTGTCGATCTGTTGACACATCGTCTTAACCCGTGCTGGACACGGGGTGAGCACCAGATTCTCGTCATCGGAGGAGATGAGATGAGGACTCCCTGTATCCGGTGTGGTGCCTCGGGGGGTTGTCGTTTGCTCGGGTTCATGGAGATCTCGAGGCAAACATTGTAATCCTCGAAGGCCCTGAAACTACACTCCGTGGAGCTCCGGTCTTCCATGGAACCATAATCATCGACATAGTGTAGAGCCGGCGACTAGACGATGGTTCGACTACAAGCCACGAGGACATCGCTAAACCTGTTGCACGACCAAACACTAGCTGCCGACCCGAACAGGAGGACATTGTGACTCCAGAGAGTAGGGCCCATCGGAGTCAAGACAAGCACATACGCTTCTCGTGGATCGTGTAATGGAAGCTGGCGACAAGCTCCGTCATGGTCATGCCCCCAAACTCGGAGCTGCATTTGTCGTTGATCGTCGAGGAAGGCGCGGCCGAGGGAAACGAAGTGGTCTGGCGTATGGTGATAAGGCTGACCGTGCATTGTACATGTTGCCTTGTGTCCACTTCGGCGCCAATCTTCGCCTCGGCGTATCTTAGTGTTGCCGTCGCTCCCGGTCTGTTCGATGCTGAAAGCCATCGCGATGAACGGGTCGTCGTGGGGTAACGGGAGGACTTTGTCGAATCCTTGGCGTCCCGGAGCAACGGAGGGGACTGGCCACCTTTCCGGCGCTGCGAAAGGGCCCTTCATCCTACCCATCTCGACCTCTGTCATGATCTCGTCAAGCATGAGTTTCCAATGGTCATCGATGATGTTCTTGTCGATTTTGTCCTTGATGTATTCGCGATTATTGGTCCGAAACTCTTCGATAGGTGTGGGTCGGAGGTACTTCTTGTCTTGTCGGACGTGCCAGTTCACTCCTGGTGTCAGGCTTCCCATGAATAGGAATCCTTGTGCCAATTCGCGGAGCAATATTTCGGTCTGAGGATATTTGATGAGTCGAAGGACGGAGGTGGATCAGCACTGGGATCTGTGTGACCGATTTTCCATGTTGATACGCTCGTTTTACATGTGGCGGCTGTGGCGGTAGGGTGTTGTACCAAGCGTCGGTGTATTCTTGTAAGTCCTGCACGAGGTTCTGGATTTCGGCAATGACGTCGTGTTGAAATCGAGGTAGGGGATGGAAAAGATGCCGATGATCCAGACACCACCGCAATGTGGGGTCAAGTGCCTTCGGTGTGCGATTGGTGTTGCGGTGTAGTGCCCAGTCCAGGCGTTCCGTCCAGGAATATTGTGGCATATAACCGTGTTGTCCATCGCGAGGCCGGGGACCAAAGGGACCCTGCTATGGTTCCACAACTTGATCACTTGTCCAAAGCTGATTCGTGCGGGCCTTGGGGTATGCCGGCCTCCGCGGTCCCCAGCAGAACGAGGAGGAGGAGCCAAATCGCTGTTGGTAGATGCCATGACTTTCCCAACGCGATGTCACGTTTGGTCTCATCGCCGGAGGCCAAGGATTCGGTGTACCCTGGGCGAAGTCCCTGTAACTGTTCGCGGAGAGATGTAGGTGCGGTAGAAGAAGTTCCATCCGCCCAGTGTACCAAGAACTGGTCCTCATACTGCCAAGGTGGGTACCGCTGGTGATCTGCCTTCCAACGTTGCATGGTTTCGTTGGAGATCCGGCGGTGTTTGTGTGGTTGTGGTGGGGGCCTGCTGTGTGAGTCAGTGGAAGGCGTAGTCAGGGCAATTGAACAATTTCTTTTGTAGGCAATTTGGGACCGAAAAACCGATGGCCACGATCGGTTTCTGCAACTTCGCGCGCCATCGGATTACGCAAGCGGCGCCATCCGTCCTCTGTGGTCCATGTCATCGACCAGGGCGACCATTTGCATTTGGAGAGTTTCATGTCGATGTCCTCCCAGTCCGCGGATGTCCACCAAAGACGGTTCCGATGTACCATCTTGCCATCTGCCGCGTCGACAATGATAGGTTCCATGGCCAGTCGCGTAGTTGTTCGGAGGAGGTCGTCACGTAAGTTGGGATGTGGGACAACGTTTTCGATCACCGTCTCGATGGGATTGCCGTGGAATTTCTGTCTGATTTGGTGTTCGATAACCAACATTTGTTGGAAGAGCCAGCCAGAATCACCTTCACATCCTGGTGGGTCGTGTCTCATCGTCGAGAAGTCGGGACACGGAGGTCCCGCCGTGATAAGCACAATGAATTGTCGTTGGCTCACCTGGGTATGTATGAGGTCATAGACCTTTCCGACGTCGAAGTCTGAGATATCTCCCATCGTGGTAGACGCAAACTTGTTCTGTACAAATTGTTGGCGCAGTCTTCGTCGATTTCCCACGATAGTGTAAGTAGCAAGTTGTTGCAGAGGTGTCGTAGTGCTTCGGAAGCAACACCGATCCCATCGAAGAACGAAAGGTGTACAAGAGGAAGATGTCCAACTAGGCTTTGACACAGAGTAGCTATTCAGTTATTCTGCACTCATTTTGTTCTTCTCGATGGGCGGCTCCAGAGTCTTGTGACTCTGGGCCTTGCTGTCCCTATTTCTTGCCGCCTTTCCCGAACTTACCCTTCTTCCCTTTGTCTTTGTTGCCCTTGTCGCCGCCTTTCTGTTGCCAAGGCGGTCGTGGTTGATATGGGTGTGAACCTCTGTTACTTGGTGAGTGGTCGATGTAAAATCTCGTTGACCTTCATGATCTCCACCATGAGGTCCTCGGTGATGACCCGGAACGTCTCGTTCGAGCGCATGCGCATCGCGATGTCCCACGCGAAATACTCCCCATAGCATCTTGACATTGGGGGACGAGGCTATGAAACCAATCTACATATTTACTGATTGCCGTCTCGGAGTCATACTTGAGGAGTAGCCAAGCCCACCGTAATGCTTGGGTTGCATCGATGAGCATCCATTTGTCCACGCACATCCCAATCGTCTTGGGATTTCTCGGAGATCTGGTTCTTGTCGTCGATGATCAACTTCTTCTCGGATGGATCCTTCTTCCTGTTGGAGTTGATCGTGTTGAAGCTCGTCCATACTCGTTGTGGAGTAATTTCACCAAGTCGCGCCTCCCGAAGCTTGAAGCAGCGCTTGCAACGGAGTCCCCGAGGTTCGTGGTATTCTCTCGTGTGTGGTGAAAATCCATAGGGCCAGCCGCAAATCGCGTGCCAATGTGTGCTCTCGGTGGATGTCTCGGAAACTCCCGGGAGGTGGACGACCTTGGTAACCGAATTGACCACCCAGAATTTCTGTCGTAGTGTCTCGAGGTAGTGTTCCACCGTTTCACGTACTTGTTCGGGTCGTGAGATGTCGGGAAGCCGAAAATGTTCATCACCTCGATGTAGCGGGGCTTCTTGGACATAGACTTTGATGGCGTTACTGCCCCATCGTCCGATCAGCTCAACTGTATCGAGTGGAAAACCTCGGCGTGTGAGCATTTGTGCTCCGGACACTCGACAAACATGCTCACAAAACCGTGGTAGTAGGATGCCTTCAGGTCCTCGTCGTGTTAGCGATGTGCCGGTGGCAGTAATAACGGATCGGAATATTTCTGGTGGTGTCGGAGAGGTTGTCCGTCTTGTCCGGGAAAGAACGGTGAGTCACTCGGATATCCAAGTTCTTGCATCCGGTCGAGGTGTCGTCGTAATGCGTGGAATGGGCATAGATGAGGAGATCGGTGACAACTGCAGGGATGTGACCTTGTCACACACAGAATGTCTGTCTTCGCACATGCAAGGTAATGTGATGAAGGCGGTCGGTCCACGGCTGAGCCAGCATCACTGATGTCGCCTCAATCCCTCGAAGTAACCGCCAGCAACAGATGATGACCACGTCGATACGATGTCGTAGGTATTCAGCCCAAGCAGCGGCCTGGGGGAACTCGATGTTGACGTCGGGGATCGTCGCGACATCTTCCACGAAGAAGGAATCCTTGATCTTACTCGGTCCACGGCCGCGTTCGACTGCTCTTTCGGCTTGTGACATTCGGAGTATAACTTCTGGTGGTACGTTCGTCTGTGTCTCTGCCACATGCTCCTGCCTCGCCTGACTGAAGAGCAATTTCGCTGTTTTGTAACCTCCGGCTCGTAGACGGCTTCGACGGACCTGACAGTGAGGTCCCAGGCATGTGTCACTTGTAACCACAATTTCCAGCGGGAGTCTCGGGACTTCGTGGTTGTGGCTGCGTATGTGCTTCTATGCAGCTCAGCAAGTGATTCTTCGCGGAACTCGGAGGCTTTGGATAAGGACCCACGAGTCAAGGAGTTCATCGTGGGAATGTCCCGTCGCATTACCGGGACAACTGCACGTGAAATCGGCTTCCTGCCGACGGCACAAAGAAATTTATCGAGCTCATTCCGGCTCGGCGCGATCTCCACGAGTACAGACTCGGAGATGTTTCTCAGCTTCTTGACAGTGATAACATCGTGTACTGCTAAGGCCGGTGCAAAACCGGTGAGATCATGGGCTCGTAGGAAGGCTAACACTTCAGCAAATGACATCGGGGTACTATTTCATTAGCTTGGAGCATAACCGCTCGGAGCGTTCAGGGGGGGTTGTCAAAGCGAGTGCAAACGCAAACAAGCTTCCCGCACATTGTTCCGGGTCACTGTCGTCTGAACGCAGTAGCACTCGAGGGCCCAACACGATCGGCTCGAGCTAGATCGCCTACTTCTTCTCGGAGCATTGAAAGTGAAACCGGCAAGGTCATGAGTCGTTGTAGTTGACAAAGAGCTGAATCAATCCGTTCACGCAGCAAGTCGGTGTTCTCTCGGGCTTCATGAACTTCTCGTTGTAAAACCGCACATGCTCGTTGTTCACTGTGTATGTAGGCAACCCAGACTTTCATCGGTGCGCAGTTCTCAAACATCACCTCGATGTGCTTTTGGAATTCGATCTGTGACCTATCGAAGTTAGCCTCGAGCCGGTCAATCCTGATAGACAATTGTTGGAGTAATCTGTGGCGTTCCTCTAATGTCCATTCTATGTCCCGGATCGCGCTCGAATCCATCGGGGTATGCGGGCTTCGGCCTCCTGGGAAATCTACGTCATGGGTGAGCGGTGCCCTTACCGGGCCAAGGTGCACGGCTACTGTCGATGTCACATGCCTTACCGGCAAAGCTCTCGGATGCAATCACTCCATGGTGATGGGTTTTCCTCGGGGGGAGATGTCGGAGTCATCCTGCGCACGCTCACCTCGCGTCGCAAAGGCGGAAGAGGTGGCCTGGACACATCATCATTCGATGTGAGAACTGAACATCGGTGTCAGGCCGGTTCACTTTAGACCCGTGTATACCTCGCGTCGCCTAGGCGGAAGAGGGCACGGGTAAACGACAAGTCGGTGATTCCCGAAATCGAAGGATTCGCCACGTCACCGGCGTGGAACGGCTGACGGGCTACCTAAATTCGGGGATCCGTCGGGGGGCCACTCACTTCGTCTGCTTCAGTGTCCTTGCCAAGGTACACTCCAGTGAACCATTGCGATCCACCTTTGGGAAGCTTCATGTTGTTGCTTATTGGCATTTTCGCGTCAATCAACTCACCAAACATCCACCGTACTCACGGGACCACCTTCGACAATAGGCAGTCTTCCCGTCGGTTCCAATCAGGTAACGGTTAATCAACCATTGCGCATGTTTCACACACCAAGTGAACAGTGGAGATTCCGACGACACTTTCACTCCAGTCTTCTCTTGCACCTGCGACAACAGTGTCCTCAGTTGTCCATACAACGTCCTCTGCACATTCCCGACACCCCCTTGGCTCTGAGAGTGTCCAGTCGGGGCGGCACGCATTGACAAACCGCCAACAGTCTTGCAGATGTCCTTTGCAATCACCTTCAGTGAATTCTCCTTATCATATTGAATGATTCCAAACGTCCGGCCAATCTCGAACACAAATCTGCGCAGTTCTGCAACGGCATACTTTTCCACACTTCCCTTCGCCGGAAGCACAATTGCCATTGCATAACCAGTCTGCACATCTGTCGCATTCAAGATAGTCCTCTTGGGAAGGTCATTCTCAGTCGACAGAAAGGAGAAGTCGAGCTGGGTGACGGGTTGTCTGTCATTCCTCTTCACTGCATGGTTCTGTCTTCCTTTCGATCGTACGCAGTGCTCGCACCAGTCGCGATAAGGAAGATGCGTCAACTCATGCAGTCTTCTTTCATTCTCCGACGGCTCATTCGGGATCTTCACTCCTTTTGGCTTCACCGCATTCTTGTCCTCAGTCTCCTGCTCATTTTCACCTGCATTAGGTCGATCAAGAGGAACGAACAGTGTATATCCAATCCATTCGTGACCAGTCGCCTCACGGGGCTCGTTACATCTCTTGACAGTGCCATCAGGCAGTTCAATGTCTGCCCAATCATTCTGATGCCCAGTGTCAATCATCGACGGCGACTCGAGTGAAGAACATTGTGTAGCGATCACCAAACAAGTGATCACTCAACAGTCCTTCCACAGGTGAAGGAGCATCATCTGGATGGAAGTAACTGTCTCTCCATTCATGATTAATCCAATATCGAGGAAGCAATATCCACTGGACGGCAGTCCGGGGTGCTGCAGTCTCTGGATCCTC